GCAGGGACAGGGCAGGGACAGGGCAGGGACACAGCAGGGACACAACAGGGACAGGGCAGGGACACAACAGGGACAGGGCAGGGACAGGGCAGGGACAGGGCAGGGACACGGCAGGGACACAACAGGGACAGGGACACAGCAGGGACACAGCAGGGACACAGCAGGGACACAGCAGGGACACAGCAGGGACATAGCAGTCACCTGGGCCTCGGAGGGGAGCGGCTTTCCCGAGGAAATGTCACCCAAACGTGCGCGTGCCCCGGCAGCAGCTCCCCTTCCCTGCACCCAAAGCGCAGATGGAAGGCTGAGCACCCACCCCAAAGCACCGAGCCAAGCACCGAGCCGGGGCTGCCTCAATCTGCATCACTTCTGGCAAAAGGTGCCCCCGCCTGGAGCGCTCCCAGGGCAGCCCGAGGGACACGGACGGGGACAACGGCAGCTGTCACCTGTCCCATGGCTGTGCTGTGCAGGAACCAGCTCTGTCCTCCTCCTCCTCCTCCTCCTCTTCCTCCTGACTGAGCCTCAGCAGCCACTCAGGGGAGGGAGAACAGCCCGTGGAGACGGAAAAGAGGAGGAACCCTGGCCCTAACTCCTGCATCAGAGATGGGCCAGGACCAGAGCTGTCCCTTCCCCAGGAGGGAGCCAGAGGAGGGGATGGCAATATTTTCTGGTTTGAGTATTTTCTGTTTTGAAGCTCATCCCCCAGGTCTCATCCTGTGTCCTGGGACCTCAGCACGTGCTGCTGTTACCCCTGGAGACTGTGGATGGTGGCAGGTGTGAGGAAAGGAAAAGTCCCAGAGCTTTTGTTGTTTCGAATCCCAGAATCACTGAAGGTGGAAAAGATCATCCAGTCCCAGCTGTGCCTGATCCCCACCTTGTCCCCAGCCCAGAGCTCTGAGTGCCACATCCAGGAATTCCCTGCACACCTCCAGGGATGAGACTCCAGCAGCTCCCTGGGCAGCCCCTGCCAAGGGCTGAGCACGCTCCAGGTGGAGAGGTGAGAGCTCAGTTCCTGGAGCCAGATCTCCGTGCTGACTCCGAGCCCCAAAACACGTCTGCCTAAACTGGGAGGGGACAAAGTTCTGACAAGCTCAGCCCAGCTCACGTGTCCCCACCTTGGCCACAGTGGGCTTTGCAGAACATTGAATCCCAGGATGGTTTGGGGTGGAGGGACCCCAGAGCCCCTCCAGTGTCACCCCTGCCACGGCAGGGACACCTCCCACTGTCCCAGTGTCCAGCCTGGCCTTGGGCACTGCCAGGGATCCAGGGGCAGCCCCAGCTGCTCTGGGCACCCTGTGCCAGGGCCTGCCCACCCTGCCAGGGAACAATTCCTGCCCCAAATCCCATCCAGCCCTGCCCTCATCCCCCTGTCCCATCACTCCAGGAGCGCTCACTCCTCGGACCAAGGGACACCGGGACCCCCAGACCCGCCCGGGCTGGCAGTGCCCGCTCCCCTCGATCCGGGCAAGAGGAAATCCTTGTCAGCATCATTCCTCTTGGAGACACGCTGCCTGCACTGACATTCTCAGAGAAAGTGCCCGAACGCCTGAACTCTTCATTTGAATGGTTTTTAAGTGCCTGGCAGCAGCTGGCTGCGCTGATTTGCATGGCAGGGCCAGCGGAGCGCGGGGTTCCTGGAAATCCCAGAGCTGGTGAGAGCAGCCCCGAGGTCACGGCACATCCTGGGGGGCTGGGGCAGGCCAGGCTCCAGGGGATGCGAAAGCTGCGTGGGTGCAGCGGAGCCTGGTGCATCACCTTCCTCTTCCTCTTCCTCGAAACACGGAACACCAAACACGTGCTGGCCCCGGCAGCCCCTCGCTCCCCACCCGCAGCTCCTGGCCAGGCCAACCCTGGGCAAACACAGCAGCACTGAGCTTCCCCAGGACAGGCTGGAGCTGCAGAGGCTGGAAAAGCCC